TTTGTGCATTTGGAAATCACATGATTGATTACCCGTACACCAGACAGATGAATGGATGAATTGATGAATTGATTGGCTAACTGGCCAAGCGTCGTGTAGTGTGTTTGAAAGCTACATTGGTCGATTGATTGACTGGTCGAATAAATTGTTGATTGCAAACTATGGTGATGATGTGATCGATTGACTGTCTTACTGACTGAGGACACTTGTGTGTTTGTAGAGTGTTTGATGCTGTGGCGAAATTGATGTGTGGTTCAGTGAGTGGACGAGATGTATGACTGTGGATTGTAAGAGTGAGTGAATGGTGGATGTAGTGTTGTGTAGGAGTGCAGTCGGCCTCCATAGCTCAGTGGTCAGAGCACTGGTCTTGTAAACCAGGGGTCGGGAGTTCGATCCTCCCTGGGGGCAGCAGCTTTCGGCAGCTCGTCACACCACAACACCATACCACCCTACACAGTCACCACACACTCTCTCCTAACATACACACAGTGTACATCGGACTCAACCGAACTTACACAAACACAGTCACTTCAACACACAATCATACTTCCTGTCAGTCCACTCCACCAATACCACACATCACGGAGCACACTCACACAGAACCACATCCACATGCCGACACTGTCACATCGCACTTTCCAACCTCCATCTTACACTGGAAAGCTTGGTATTTGTCTATTGGTCAATGCTTCCTCATCATTGCATCCACTCACCCATTTGTCAGTGATCGTTCACACTCTTGAAATCGCACATTCGTTGTAACAGACAACTTGCACGTTTCAGCTCGAATGCAGGTGACGTGATCTGTGTGTGGATGTGTTCAGAGTCAATCAGTCAGATGATCCAGTATATTTTGATCTTGTCCATCCGCCTAACTGAAAGCCTGTTGTAATTCCGAATGGTGCATGTCGTGCAAATGTGTGAATTGTGAGTGTGTCAGTACTGTTTGGAAGTAGTCGATTGGTGAGCGAATGGTTCCGGTTACCGATGGGACAGTGATGAGAGGTAGGGGATGTTGGTGCGTCGAACGGAATTGACGCGATATTTGTTTGTAGTGGAGTGGATACGATGCAGTGGACTAGGAGTGGACAACGTTGAATGAGACAGTGACGATTGTGTGAGTGTGTGTGTGAAGTAAAGGCCAACTCCTCGACCGGGAATCGAACCCGGGCCTTCCACGTGACAGGCGGAGATACTAACCACTATACTATCGAGGAGCACGTCAATGTCACCACACTCAACACACTCCAAACTAAGCCAAACTCAACCACCAACTCAGATTTTCAGCACTGAATACACGTCAACACTCACACAACACACACTCTCACTCACTCATACACTACCGACAACAACTAACACTACACACTTGCATTCATGAACAAACTCTCAGATGGCCAGATAGACGGAAACTCACATCGAATCAAACGCAACATAGTATCTCGCGCTTATCAACCTGCTCATTACTCAAATCCTCTATTGGTTGACATACTGATCAACTGTACACAACTCCTCCTCACCATAGTCTAACAACACAGTCAGTGGACTAGGACAAACGGTCAGGTGTTCGTCGACATACTAGTCGAACGGCGAGTACACAGTGACGATTCAGTGACATAGTACGTGATGACGTATGATGAGCGATGGTGATGGTGAAGGTGATGACGATAATTGCAGATGAGGCAGATGACGAGAGGTGGATAGTACTGATGTGGACTCACCTCTCCCAATCTCCAGTTTCATGACCATGTGCATAGTTGACAATCGGCTTTCACATGCTCATCGACTGATAGAATGGTGTGTGTGTGTGTTTGTGCATTTGGAAATCACATGATTGATTACCCGTACACCAAACAGATGAATGGATGAATTGATGAATTGATTGGCTAACTGGCCAAGCGTCGTGTAGTGTGTTTGAAAGCTACATTGGTCGATTGATTGACTGGTCGAATAAATTGTTGATTGCAAACTATGGTGATGATGTGATCGATTGACTGTCTTACTGACTGAGGACACTTGTGTGTTTGTAGAGTGTTTGATGCTGTGGCGAAATTGATGTGTGGTTCAGTGAGTGGACGAGATGTATGACTGTGGATTGTAAGAGTGAGTGAATGGTGGATGTAGTGTTGTGTAGGAGTGCAGTCGGCCTCCATAGCTCAGTGGTCAGAGCACTGGTCTTGTAAACCAGGGGTCGGGAGTTCGATCCTCCCTGGGGGCAGCAGCTTTCGGCAGCTCGTCACACCACAACACCATACCACCCTACACAGTCACCACACACTCTCTCCTAACATACACACAGTGTACATCGGACTCAACCGAACTTACACAAACACAGTCACTTCAACACACAATCATACTTCCTGTCAGTCCACTCCACCAATACCACACATCACGGAGCACACTCACACAGAACCACATCCACATGCCGACACTGTCACATCGCACTTTCCAACCTCCATCTTACACTGGAAAGCTTGGTATTTGTCTATTGGTCAATGCTTCCTCATCATTGCATCCACTCACCCATTTGTCAGTGATCGTTCACACTCTTGAAATCGCACATTCGTTGTAACAGACAACTTGCACGTTTCAGCTCGAATGCAGGTGACGTGATCTGTGTGTGGATGTGTTCAGAGTCAATCAGTCAGATGATCCAGTATATTTTGATCTTGTCCATCCGCCTAACTGAAAGCCTGTTGTAATTCCGAATGGTGCATGTCGTGCAAATGTGTGAATTGTGAGTGTGTCAGTACTGTTTGGAAGTAGTCGATTGGTGAGCGAATGGTTCCGGTTACCGATGGGACAGTGATGAGAGGTAGGGGATGTTGGTGCGTCGAACGGAATTGACGCGATATTTGTTTGTAGTGGAGTGGATACGATGCAGTGGACTAGGAGTGGACAACGTTGAATGAGACAGTGACGATTGTGTGAGTGTGTGTGTGTGTTGTGTGTGTGTGATGTGTGTGTGTGAAGTAAAAGCCGACTCCTCGACCGGGAATCGAACCCGGGCCTTCCACGTGACAGGCGGAGATACTAACCACTATACTATCGAGGAGCACGTCAATGTCACCACACTCAACACACTCCAAACTAAGCCAAACTCAACCACCAACTCAGATTTTCAGCACTGAATACACGTCAACACTCACACAACACACACTCTCACTCACTCATACACTACCGACAACAACTAACACTACACACTTGCATTCATGAACAAACTCTCAGATGGCCAGATAGACGGAAACTCACATCGAATCAAACGCAACATAGTATCTCGCGCTTATCAACCTGCTCATTACTCAAATCCTCTATTGGTTGACATACTGATCAACTGTACACAACTCCTCCTCACCATAGTCTAACAACACAGTCAGTGGACTAGGACAAACGGTCAGGTGTTCGTCGACATACTAGTCGAACGGCGAGTACACAGTGACGATTCAGTGACATAGTACGTGATGACGTATGATGAGCGATGGTGATGGTGAAGGTGATGACGATAATTGCAGATGAGGCAGATGACGAGAGGTGGATAGTACTGATGTGGACTCACCTCTCCCAATCTCCAGTTTCATGACCATGTGCATAGTTGACAATCGGCTTTCACATGCTCATCGACTGATAGAATGGTGTGTGTGTTTGTGCATTTGGAAATCACATGATTGATTACCCGTACACCAGACAGATGAATGGATGAATTGATGAATTGATTGGCTAACTGGTCAAGCGTCGTGTAGTGTGTTTGAAAGCTACATTGGTCGATTGATTGACTGGTCGAATAAATTGTTGATTGCAAACTATGGTGATGATGTGATCGATTGACTGTCTTACTGACTGAGGACACTTGTGTGTTTGTAGAGTGTTTGATGCTGTGGCGAAATTGATGTGTGGTTCAGTGAGTGGACGAGATGTATGACTGTGGATTGTAAGAGTGAGTGAATGGTGGATGTAGTGTTGTGTAGGAGTGCAGTCGGCCTCCATAGCTCAGTGGTCAGAGCACTGGTCTTGTAAACCAGGGGTCGGGAGTTCGATCCTCCCTGGGGGCAGCAGCTTTTGGCAGCTCGTCACACCACAACAACATACCATCCTACACAGTCACCACACACTGTCTCTTAACATACGCACAGTGTACATCGGACTCAACCGAACTTACACAAACACAGTCAAACAACAATATAAATGTACGTATAAATAGTATGCATCATTGAATATTATGTTATCAGTATGTTATACATTAACAGGGCACACAGGTTATCTGTTATAGCACCAAATATATTGATACTGGACATGAATTGATGCATTTAAAATAATCAACAGAAAAAACCCCATCAAGTTTACTCTACTTTGGAGAGATAATCGGTATCAAACGTTCCCAAATTACTTCTATTCTTACGTCTTCTGATATTCATCTTTTGTATAATGTTAAGAGATTACCCTATCACATATTAATTTCATCGCTAATGCAAAACCGTGAAATAGAATAAATCCATTTCATGTTAGAAACCTTGTTATTTTTGAATTCACTTGGTATTGTTGTTTACTTGAATCTTCCAATTGATGTTTAGCACTGCAATTAATCAATCTCTTCTTATTGGCATATGTGCATATTGTCTTAATTTAAAAGCGTTATAAGCAAAGATGAATAGTAGCTAGCAATAGAATCTAGTTTGAATCGTGTTTCGTCCTATTTGGGACTCCTTAACTGAATGTATTTGGATACCGAACTAAACATCAATGGGAAAATGCAAACAACCAATACAAATGAATGATAATAACAGTTTCAGTTTTTTTGACGAAAAACGGAACAGGTAATTTTCTTAGGAGACCATACCCGGAAGCCTTTCACCTAGACGTTTAATCCACAAGGCAGTGGAGATGCAATCTTATGATAGCCAGTGACTAAGAATAGGTTCGTATGCCATATTTTTGTCAGGATCGGAGCTATTTACTGTGAAGTGTCAATCGAACTAGCTGAGGTGTAAAACACTATAGTCGCAATATTCTTGATAGTTTATTTGAAAAGTGGCCAAACAATAGCAGAAAATTCAAGGTTTGTAGCTGATTGTAAACTTAGAGTATATAGCCGATATAATCTAAAAGAACTCTTGTAGGAAATCAGTATACAACAAACATCAGTTGCCAGTTTTGTTCTAAAGTTAAAACTACATGATTATGAAACTATTAAAGATTATTTAGATTCATTTTATATTCTAAAATAAGGAATAAATCTACACAGTGTTTAGAATTGTTGTGCTAATCGCTCGCACTTCATTGGACAATTGCATAATGATTCAAAACAAAAATCAGAAGGTAGGTAGGTAGATACTATATATCAAAAGTATTGTAACCAATGTACATGAAAGAAGACTTAATAGGCCATATATTCATATTAAACTGTTACTATTTTAGTTAATATGATGAAGAATAATTTTTACAATCTGGTATCTTACAACCAATAGCAGAGTAAATTAGCTCTAAACGTTTTGTAGCCAACTGGTTAGCTCGCCTTGAACCATGTGATAAACAGTTAACTATAGTAGATTGGCCTTCTTCTGTATTCATAAAATCATTTATTCGTTTTTGAATTGGATCAAATTCTTCAATAAGTGCATCTGACACTTTGGATTTCAAATCTTCTTTACTCCAATCATTAGGTACTGTAGATAGAATTTCTTCAATTTTACGACCCTTGATAATAAAACACCATTAAATATTTAGTGGTTATTTAATACTATTTAAATGTATATAAATTAATTAATAGAATCAAAAAAGATCATGGATGTGCACTGTTGAGGAATCTCATACTAAGACGAAACGGCCATCCAGTGCTTCCAGGTTTTCAATAGTGGTCTAACATTGATCAATTCAAGATCAAAACTCAACAATCTCCACAGTTTCATACTAAGAATCAGAAGCGCCTTAAAGCGTCTTAAATAAAAAAACTAAACTTTTTGCATAAATTCAGAATTAAGAAGATGGAGAGGAGAGTCGTTCTTACTCTACACACAGTCCCATAAGATCGCACGTAAACAGCCCCTTCTCGTAGTAGGGTTACATATTTTACAAAGTTAGAGCACGAAAACAGTTATTGGCGCTTAAGCCAGATTAGTGCACAAAAACAATTCAGATAAGAAAATTGGAAAACGTTAGTAAGAAATCAAGGTTGCATATAGGCCATACTCTCTTAATAGAAGGAACGGGATATGAACGTACTTAGGTCACCTGCTCTACCATGAGAATGCATCATCAAATGTTGCTCCAGTACCTTATGAACAAGACATTTAGAGTGACCATCTACTTTGAGTTACCGAGAAGCATCACAATTCTTACACTACTACTGATGTTTACCAATGAAGGACATGAGAATAACGAACTACGTGCCTTGTCTTCCTAATTACATAAACGATATCTATATTTATTTTCTTATATAATTATATAAAGTAGTTGGTTTTCTTCCGTTCAACTACTAGTTGAGACTAACTAGTAAAATAGATCATATCGCTTTTATAGTTGACAAGTTATTATACACAAGATCAATTAGTGTACCAATAATCTGAAAAATGTATTCAGCTACAGGGTTATAAAAACGTGGAATTGACTTCTAGATAACCAAAAAACGTTATTCTACTAACCAATGATGTGTCAAACATTTGAATTGTAATTTTCTTCCCTATTTTGTTGTTAAGTGTGAAAATATTATTGTATTATCGCTTCAGGTGATATGCGATCTCGATCAGCCAAATATTATCTTACTTTCGCTATTATTATTAATTGTATTTAGTAACTGTAAAAGACCGAACAATTCGACAGTTTACAAATACAGAATGTGGATGTGTCGCTCAATTTCGTGAATTAGTTGAAGATAGACATAAACACCATTGGATGCTAGTCGGCTCAGTGGTTTAGAGGTTAAGCGTTTGCACGCAAGACCGATAGGTCCGAGGTTCGAAACTTGTGAGGCGGGGTCGTAGATGTGCACTGATGAGGAGTCCCACAAAAGGACGAAACAGCCGTTCAGTGCTTCCAGGTTTTCCATTGTGATCTAGCTTTAATTGGCTCATGATCTCAACCATTGAAAATACAAAAAATTGATCATTTTCTATATCGTTACTGATTTAATAATAAAGAGATTTTAGAATTACCTGGATAGCAGATAGAATTCTTAATAAATTTGATACTCCAGGACGGTTTTCAATATCATAAGTAATTTTACGGATAGAATCTGTTTCAGCACGTCTAATTTTTTTATAAATATTATCTGGTGTATCAGTTAGATAGATTATACCTAATTCTGATGTATCAGATTTACTCATTTTTTTAATTGGATTTGTTAGGTTGTTTATCTGTTGTAATCGAAAAACAAAAAGAAAAACAAAGATAATAATAGATAACTGATGAAATGTTTGAAGTAAATAATGAAATCCATTTAATTTAGCCAGTCATCATCAAAATAAGTTGTTTTGAGTGCTGGCTAAAGGTATGAGGACGGTAATCACATCCCGGCTGCCCACGCCATGGAAAGGACCTTCTGGTGGTACCTGAAAAGGACATATCTGGCATGGTAAGACCTCGAGGAACGACTTCTCCAGCCAGTATAGCTCGATCGGTTCATCAGGATAGGCAAGCCCGACCACCACTTTAAGGTGGCAACAACGTTCAGACATCATCAAAATAGAATCTGATATATTTATGTATTTATTTGAACACATAAATATTGATACAAAGGGGCAGCAAATACATATGCGCCACACAAGTCACCTGGTTTGTTTGTGCGCTGTGATACTGTCCGGATGCCCAGATCGAACAAGGTGGTTTTCTTAGGGGACCACTCCTCCAACCTTCGACCTAAAGGTCTAATCCACAAGGCAGTGAAGCAACGTCAGGAGGTGCAATCCTATGGTAACCAATGACCAAGAATAGGTTCATACGCCATTTGTTCCTTTAGGATACTGGAGCCTATGTGCACCATTGGTTTGGAATCAGGGTGTTTCAGCTCCCCTAAGTGGACCCTCCATATCCAGCAACTCGGTCAACGAGTCAGACATTCGTTTTTCGTCCTCTCAATTTCGTAAACAACATCACCGTCACGAGAAGGTAGTGAGTAGGACTTTCCTGGCAGTGGTTGTATGTACGTGGTCATGTGAGAGCTGAATCTCCCCACCCTCGGCCGTAGCAGGGTATTTGATACAATTTGTCACCTTATATTAGCATAACAAGATGAGGTGAACACGATGCATAGAAGAGAGTAGAACAATCTATCAGTAGTTGCGATAAGAATAGGCATTGAGGATTTGATTCAAAAAGACAGGATAGAAAGGTAAGGATGAAGGCATACTGAAATACGAAATCTAGAGGAAGATAAAAAGTGAATGGATTTGAACTATGTTAACCCAATTTGCCAACATTAATTGTCGTACCCCAACCAATAAATTTGGATCTTCCAAAACAACTCAGACTGACGGTCAATGAATTTGTGGAATGACATGTTTTTGTTTGGCTGCCCCTAGTTTTCTTTCAATCTATTCCTGTTCCAACAAACATCGTCCATCGAGGTAGGTAGTGATTAGCAATTATTTTTTATTATCAATGTTTTGTTTGGGATGCTAGATCACCAGAATTGTTTTGTAATTTTATTTTGGGAATCTTGACCCACATACTGTATTTCCTACTTGGAAGGGCCGTAAATTTCATCGGTTCGTTACCTCTTTTGTTACGCCACTTTGTGACGTCTCCCAAAGACATTTTATGCTATATATATATATATATATATACTTGAGTTGTGTGTTTCTGGCTGCTTGCCGAATATACCTTTCACTCATCTGAATATGATCTTCTCCCTCTAGTTAGTGGGACTGGGATGTAACGGAATAGTTTAGCTTGTCTTGTCGTTGTGTCGATGATCCTTAGTTACATTCGCCGATTTTAGGTGATTTTATAATCTCTTCAAACTTAGCCGTTTACTAGTGAAAATAAGAAGGCAAATGTTGTGTCAATTTTATGTATCTTTCCATTTTCATGATTATACATTTATTCCTTTCCCCCTTCCTAAAAAACATATGATAAGTAAGAACTTCAATAGGACGCTAATTTGTCTCAAGAATTTAGCATGATAATGATCAAATGAAAACTGATCCTTATGGAACAGGTAGATTGGGTTGGAATTTTCTAATTAGTAGCAAAGGCTTTAGAAACGTAAAAAATTTTGATTTTTTTTATCCGTTTATAATCTTGAACGACTTATGAATGGCGATGATATGACTGCTGTCGATTAGAGATTTAGCTATTGCAATAGCGCCCTTTAAACTCAATTTTTTTCGGGACTTGCTCATATTCATGTCTCCGATATTCATTTCTAAATGAATGTATATATATATAATACTGGTAATCATTTTCATTTCAATATCACAACTATCAACTTCAGGTAGAAGTCAAATGTACGAATTTCCCCACATATGGCTCACAACTTGTCGTGTCGACCTTGATCTTGATTGGTTATTGTTGACCTTTAGCCTGTCATTGTCTACTTTAACATAAAAGTCTACGGACGAACAAAAGGAACACTGATGGGATCACCGATATCAAAACTTATTGCAGAAGCAGTGATGCAGAAACTGGAAGCCACGATCTTACCAGTGATCAAGCCAAAAATTTAGACTCGTCATGAGGACGATACATTCGTCATCGTCAAAAAGGACGAGTTTGAAGACACAATTTATTTAACAACGTCTTCAATGACATAAAATTCACTGTGGAAACGGAGTCAAACAAAAAAGCTATCATTATTGAATGTATTGAATACCAGAACCAACACAGGAATACTGGAGATTCTGCATATCGCAAGCCAACCCACATAGACCAAGTTCTCAAGTACAGTAGCAACAACCCAAGAACTCACAAAATCAACTGCGTACAAACTATATTCAAGAGGGCGAAAACACACTTCCAGCGCAGAAAAAACATTCGAAGACAATCATCTTTCAAAAGAACGGCTACCCAATCAACTTCATCAATAAATATCAACCTAACGCATCATCAGAAATACGATAAAGTAAAGAAACCAACAAACAGATCATCCTGCCATATATAAAAGACATTAGAAATTACGAGATTATTGAAGCCGTTTGAAATAGGTGTAGTACACAAACCAGAAAAATCACTTCAATCAATCCTATGCAAACCAAAGGACGAAATGAAAAAAGAAGAAAAACAGATCATCATCTAGAAAATAAATTGTTCCAATTGCAAAAAACACTACATCAGACAAAGCGGAAGCCCTCTTCATCTTCGTTTGCACGAACATTAATTAGCGGTCAAAAGCCATAACACATCCTTGCTTATATCAATGTATGTGAACAACTGTGGACACACATTCGACTGGGAAAATGTTGAGATCTTGGGTAGAGGCAATTCTGAAAAGACCAGAGAACTTGTAGAAGCTTGGTACTCAGGCCAATCAGCAATCAATAAACACATTGAAATGGATCTAATCTATCAACCAATCAGAAAAAATTATGGACAAATATAAGGACCAAGAATCAAATCAATTGGAAATAAAGAAGTGGACAGTGACAGGTTAAAGGTCAACAATAACCAATCAAGATCAAGGTTGACAGGGTAAGCTGTGAGCTATATGTGGAGAAATTAGAACACTTTATTCTCACCTGAAGTATGTGCTGTTAATATTTCTCAGAAGAACATTGAAAGCTCCACGAGCGAACCATACAGCTCAGAGAATAAAACTCCATCTATATCATATCATATGGTCGTAAACAGCTGAGGAACCACAAAAAAAATAAATTATGTTATTTTATCTCAGTTATTATGGCCTTATTCAAATAGGAAATTTTATTGGGTTAAAAACCCTCTAAACGAGTTCATTTTAAAAGCTGTAAAGCTATAAAGGTATTTACAAGTTTACCTACTCTTATGGAGCTAAGTAAGTCTATAACCGAGACCAACTTTTTGTTATATTCGAGAGGATCCATTAACATGGTTTAACAAATGTTGATATAAGTTCATTGCATCATTGATTTTGCAACATGTAACAAACACAGGAAATTCAACCTCAGTCTTATCATTCTACAAAATTTACAAAATCCAAAGATACAAAGAAGTGTACGCCTTAACCTACTTTACATTGGAAAAAACTTCGATTATTTATGAGTTGAAACCTGTTTTGTGTAGAAAAACACTTTGTTAAGTCGTCTTCGTTACTACGGTTTCAATTTGCATTTTATTTAGTTTCTCTCTATCCCCTTCATTGTTTACTCTTATGTTTGTGGTAGAATGAAGCTAACTTACTTTAATTCATTATTATTACTATTATGGCTATTATTATTATTATTAAGAAAATTGTTTCTACTCATCATGTTTATTTTAACTTAAAGATATTAAAAGTTACACTTTTTGCTCTGGATGATATATTAATTCTTACTTTTGCTTAAATTCACTACTTTAATAACCATTTGTTTATTTAAAATGATATAGTCAAATTTCATGTAATAACGAATCAAATTCTAGCCCCAAAATGCCCCGATACGGTCGAGGGTGAAGAGAGTCAACTCTCCTTCGAAAAATGCTCTCACATGACCACATGTATACAACCACTGCCAGGGAAGTCCTAGTCACTGCCCTCTCACGGCGAGGATGTTGTTTACAAAATTAAGAGGACGAAAAGCGAATGTCCAGCACTTTAACCGGGTTGGTGGATATAGATGATCCACATAGAAGAGTTGGGAAACTCTGATTCCAAACCAATGGTGCATATGGACTCCAGGGTCCTAAGGAAACAAACAGTGTATGAACCTATGGTCGGTCAATGGATACCATGGCACTGCATTTCCTTATGTTACTCCAGTGTCTTGTGGATTAGACATTTAGGTCAAAGGTTCGGGGTGTGGCCCCCTAAGAAAACCACTTGCTTCAGTTTGGGCACCTGGGCAGTAAATTACTAGTATTTGATCATATGTGTCTTCGAAACATTGCTCGTATAACCTGGGACCATCGAGTAAGTAATGCAGTTGTTAGAAAACGGGTACTAGGTAAGGATGGCAAATCAATTGATAAGGTAGTGAAACTTCATCACTTGAGATGGCTGAGATATGTGTTACGAATGTCTAAACACCGACTGCCTCGATGTGCGATGTTCAATGGTATAGGAATAGATTGGGAGAAAGTTAGGGGTGGCCGGACCAAAACATGGCACAAATCCATGAAGTTATTGACGAGTGGACTGAGCCATGTTGGTGGGTGTAGACTACCTGGTTGGGGACGCGAGTTGGTAGCAACCGATGGTTAGAGACCTTGAGTGACATGGCTCAAAATCGTTTGCAATGGCGCAGGTGCATACACTCTTTGTATTCTCCCAAATTCTAATCTTCTAAATTCTTCATGTCCCTTTCCTTTTTCTCTTTCCAAATTTATTTCACTGTATTATACTACTTGAATAACATTAAGCCCTAATGTTTCCGATTACTGCTTTTACTTGTACTACTTCTACCAATACGGGATTTGAGTCGACAACTGCATCTTTATGCTAATGTGGTGTGGCAACTCGAACTGATGTACGTACGTACGAAGTTCTACGTTGTTACTGACGGACTGACTGAGTATCCCGACTCTCACATAAATCGAATGATTTATGTGGCGTATATCTATTTTATGGGTCCTTGTACCAATGTTTATATGTTTTAATAAATAATAATAAATCAAATTCTAACAGATATAATTATTCATTAAGCTGTACAATTATACAGCATTGAAATGAACTCATTAAAAAGTATTCAATGACAGAATAGATTGTTTTATAATTAAATGTATAATAACTTAATGATAAAATTAATTTACATTATTAGATTTTGGAATTTATGTGAAAGAAAAGAAATGTAACATGGAATGACTTACTTTAGGTGCATCAAAAATGACACTATTAGGTATATGTAAAATAGATGATAATGACGGCCATTTATGTACAGCTGATCGAACTAGATCACGTGCTAATTCAATATGAGTTATTTGATCAGCTCCAATAGGAACTGAATGTGCTCCATAAAGAAGTATATCAGCAGCTTGTAAAGTAGGATAGGTAAATAAACCAACGGAAGCATTATCAGGGATATTATTCATTGATAAAGTATTGTTAGTAGATACATCAGACACTGAGTTAAAATATCCACATTTTTCTCTCCATTGAGGCAAATGAGCTAACCTCTGTAATAAAAGGACATTCGATCAAATAACACTAAACGTTATAAGGAGATATTGTTCAATCAAAATAGGGTATAAGAACAGATTCAGATTGAATATATTAGTTTATTAATGGAATTACATGTAAGGCATTAGCACGATACATTTTGTTTAGTAATAAACAAAAAAGTTTAGGGAGGAATTAGTGATTAAACCAATCAGTCTCACAGTGGAATTTCGTTCCATCTGACATAGTTTTGGACAACTTAATAAAGTTATTAGCATTCATTTGGAAAGTGTAGTTTAAACGTGAGTATAAACTCATACTTTATAAATAAGTTACATATTAATAATAATAATAGTCAAAAAGAGTTCATGCCTGCATATATCTACTGTAAATATTTATTTACAATAGCTATAATGTGTAGTATATCGTATCTATTTATTTTATTTTTATTTTAACACATACATATTGCTACAAGGAGGCACCAAATACATATGCGCCACACAAATCTCATTCGATATGTGTGAGGGCCGTGATACTGCCCGGGTGCCCAAACTGAAGCAGGTGGTTTTCTTAGAGGGCCACACCCCGAGCCTTTGACCTAAAGGTCTAACCCACAAGGCAGTGGAGCATCGATTGGTTCATATGCCATTTGTTCCCGCAGGATACTGGAGCTCATGTGCACCATTGGTTTGGGATCCGGTTAAAGCGCCGGACATTCGCTTTTCGTCCTCTCAATTTCGTAAACAACACCCCCGCCATGAGAAGGCACTGAGCAAGACTTCCCTGGCAGAGGCTATATACGCGTGGCCATGTGAGAGCATTTCTAAAGGGAGAGCGGACTCTTCCCACTCTCGGCCGTACCAGGGCATTTGGGAGGATATGATATTTTACAAAGCATGAGAAAGGTACGTTCTGTGAGTGGTAATAAAAATAAACATTTGGTTTTCCTCACGAATATTGTTATTTACTTCATGACTGCATTATGGCCTTACACTGTTTTGAAGATACTCTTAAATGGAGTAAATGCTGAAGATGCTGCTCAACATGACGACAGAAGCTCTACAATTACATCAACCAGTTCGGAAAATTCAGTACCGCCAAAAACAAATATAATCAAATACATATACATACAAGACAACTCGCTTTTGAAATATGAATGTACAAAGCAATATGCGTTCTGTACACATACTATAGCTTCTGAAAGGATAAAAGAGCTGACAGTGCAGTGAACAGAACACGAGTGGGGACAATCGAATGTATTTAACACAAAATTACAGGACTTGTTAATAAAATCTAACAATCATAAAGTAAATGCTTAATTTGCAAAATGTCCATCAATTGCCTCAAAATGAATCAGACTTCATTGTTCTTGCATTTTCGTACGAATTGCATCCTGTTTCCATTCTTTACTGTTCGATCCTCTTGTCTCTCTGCTGCCAGACCTTCTGTTCACGACTAACATCATATACTACTTATGTCAATATAAATAGCACACACCACAACAGGTTTACATGTAGATACTCTCTAGTAACTTGCACATTAGGAAGTAGTTGGTATAATCATGTAGCCTGGTGGCACTACCATTCTACTGACCAAAAATAAACGATTTCAATATAAAAGCATGAATAATTTAAATTTTTAGATGATGTCTGCTAATAATCTAAATTTTTATTCAGAAACATTGAATTCACCGACAAAACAACTCAGAAATATACACTCCAAATGATTTTTAAACCATGAGTTCTCTCATTATTCCTACTAGTAACTTTTTTAATTTTTTAATAGTGATCAAGATCAATGTTGTAAAAAGAAAGTATCATTACTGTGGGACTAAAGATGTTAATTACCCGATGATTCTTCATGTTTATTACAGACCACTAGACGTAAAAAACAACTATGAATATGATTGTATAGCTCTAGTAAATAATATCGTCGAAAAGAAGATTTTCTATGTCGAAACGTCTTCATTTTGTTCAAAGACTAGAAATTATTCTTCCACATAGTCAATGTTCTTCGAGAAATAGCATTGAAAAAAAATGCCAAAAACGAATATCCATAATAGTCGGGCAATGAGTATTTTATAATTCTCTTTTATTACAACCTATTGCTTAGTAGTCTCGGATACCAATTCAGAACACGGTCGAACAGGAAAAGAGATTTTATTCCAAATAACAAGGTTAGATGGAAGTAAAAAACACAGTAGGAAAGACGTTAGTATATTTATAGTTTTTATATGAGAAGATTCTAGAGTCTTGTCCAAGTATCGACTAGCTCTGATTGGATAAGAATTAGCCAATCAGCGTGCGCCAAAGCAATCATACATTGAGTACGTTTTAATCTCATCTATGTCCTACTAACAGAGTCATTCTGAATTGTAAACATAATCTCTTGACCAAACTCTTACAGTTTACAAAACATGTCAATTTGAAGCAAGTAAACTTATGTTTTTTATATTTTGTAACTTTTATCATTTAACTATTACTAAAACCTTATCTACTTTATCAATTCCCTTGAATAAATTTTTGTTTCATAGAATATAATGGTTTATCATTTTAATCAGCATTTAGAACTTACAGGTGAATAACAAATAATTATGACACTTTATAAATCTACTCCGTATCTACCTAGTTGCTACATTATTTTTATTTTTATTCGCTTTAATCAATGACTTTCTATCTTTCAAAAGAATTAAATTATTTAGAATCCTTAACATAACTAACTACTTAATAAATGAAAATCCTAAATGATTACACAGAGCGTTATGAGTCAGTTGCAGTGTTTTATTTATTTTCTATTTAAGTTAAAGAGAATATTATAACGCAAAACCTTAATCGAATAGTTAAACCAAAGAAGATATTTAGAGAACTAAAACAACAAAATCAACAAGTACAACTCAAGAATATGAAGAATAATTCCATGATAAAATGACTTGGATGACATAAATTGGGTTCTCTAAGCAGAGTATGACACCAATTATCTGCAGTTCAAATTAAACATTAAACGTTAAAATATGATTCCGAAAAGATAAAGCGTTTATCAAAGCATAGAGCTCAAACAGTGTGACTAATGTTTTAAACAAGGGAAACTGTTGGAAATCTCTTACCAGGATCGAGCAAACTGATGATAAGATCCATGCTAGTTCAGTATGTCCAGGCACAGAAGATTGAAGGAATATAATTTGCTTTGAAGAATTTGCTTCAAATCCACATGCGAGCAAAGTAGCCACAAGTTCATGAATACCATGCTTCAGGTCATTACAATTGTTTGATGTAAGAGAATGTAAATCTGCGATCAGCATAAAGAACTGTGACACATCACTATCACGACAATACGTAACACACGGTTTTATAACTCCAAGATAATTTCCGAGGTGAGGTTTACCACTTGGTTGAATACCGGTAACAGCGAAAATATTCCGTTTAGATACTACATTTAGAAGAACCTGTTGAGAAGGTAAGATGTGATGAATTGGATTCACGTGACGATAAATACTCCTCAAATGTTTTAAACTAATGCACTGAATAAGCATCTAAAATATATTGTAATTAAAATTTAGATCGAAATAATTTGTAGATATACTGACAACCAATAAGTTTTACATGTTGATGTTGCGATAACTTTACTTGACCACGTTGAGGAAAAGTGTAATAGGCATACAATCAGAAACCGTTAAATCTATAGAAAAGGTACGAAATGAATTTCAAAATGGTCAGCAAAATCAGATCATAAACATACAAACATGTTATATAACTACTTATTTCAAGAGGATTTTCATATAGCCTACCTTAAATGGTGCAGAAAAATACACTGAATCTAACCATATAATGAGGAAAGTTGTGGTCTGATGTGATTAGAGTACTACTAGTACCAAATATTTCAAGTCACTTGCATTTGCTTCCCAACATAATTCCAGTAATATTTAGTTATTTGCAAACGTACGAATAACTAGGAAATTTTGGTAATGCAAGCGGAAACTACACGATCCACAACATATCAAAATTGAGACCACATGTGATCAAAGAAATAAAAACGGGGGATCAGGAGCTTTTCATGTCCCACACAAAAGCGACTACAGAAATAAAGTTGCTACATATATGGTACGAAATAATCAACAAAGTAGACCCAAATTATTTGGAACAAGATCAACAATATCTGCCCAGAATTTAAGACGAATGACAGGTGGAATTCAGCAATATAGGAGTATAAAATCGCATAACAGATGGGCAGTGTTACAGTAATGCTGATTTCCGTCATCTCTAACGCTTTTCGAAGTGATAATCTTATAACACTGAATGATTGTTTGGTTATCTACTTATTGGTGCATCTTAATTACTTAGACACGAACCGTGAAACTACGCGACTTATTAGCTCGGAATGTTATTGGATATTACTTCTGAGCGGACTAGTACTGTTTACATATTCTTTAACAGAAATATAATTACCAAACATTAAAAACACGGAGATCAGCGAAGAGACCTCTTTCCAACGAATTTATTATCAAGCTGCAAATATAAAGCCTTGAGAAACTAATAAGCTAACGACGGACTATAGCAATAACGGTTTCAGAACCATGGATAACTTCAAAGCTGCTGCTGATAAAGGTCTTCGGATCTTGTGGGAAGATTGTAAGACACTTTGGAACATGGGACAGGCAATGTTCAAAACATAATACAAGATCGAATTTGGAATGTGGGATTCAAGTAGGAAGTGCTTGCTGCAAATACGAAGCAAATATACTGGAGTGGGTTTAGAGGGCAGTAACTAAAATAATGAGTTTATCGGATCAGTCGAGGTGTACTATACGGATAACCTTCAACGACTAACTCGCCATTCAGAGAGATGGTTTTATACAGCAATTTTCAATAGCAAGTAATAAATTTCAACGGACAAACCTGTCAAGAATTTTAAGGCCTACTAGTCTTGAACATATCAATCAGTCAATTTGTAAATTTTAAAGCTGATATCATAAATATAAGATTTATGGATCCCACATACCCAAAAATACAGTTTCGATATAATTAGCGGACGTAAACATATTGAATTATTTTTATTAAGCTATAAAAGGTCAGCACTGAAAATTGTCAGTCATTTCAGGAATAACGGAATTTTATGAAATACAAGTAAGATTTAAGTCTAGAATTGAGCGTAAGGAACTATGGTTAAGATTAGGTATCGTGTTGAGAAGTCGGTTTAATCAGAGACTAACAAAATCTATGATGCGTCAAAACTTCGAAGGTGTACAGACGGGTGTTACGGAAAATCTGACAGGTATAGCATCTAATCTAATTGTTTCGCCCATAAAGTGTATTATTCTTCCAAACATTCTTGCCTCTGCATCGGAATACACAAAGTACGTTCAACAAGTAATTATCGTACTAGATACTAGATGTGTCAACAGTAAGTGTTTCTTCTAGGTTTGTTTACAATGACATGACACACACTATGTAGTGGGACAACGGATACGTATATCTGCTTTAAAACTCATAAGAAATAGATTGAAGAAATTAGTTAATTTCTAATGCAATAAAAGCTATCAGCGGATGTGCCCAAACCTACACAAACCTAATACGCATTATCCAAAATCTGGTTGTTCCTTCAATATCGTATGCTTCTGACGATCTAGTACAAGTTTAGCTCAAAATAGAATATTTTGACGGTTGTCTCGCCTTGTGTTTCATACAAATTTGATCAACCGGAAGAACAGTCCTAGAGATATTCTATCCTTTAGACGCTCTGAAAATGGAGATTGACATTGACCAAGTAGTTTCTTGTTGTTAATGAGACTAGTCGGCCAAAAAGAACATTCGTGAATCTAAAACCCATGTTGACAGCTATGTGACGTTTTAATTACCGATTATCTTCAAATCAGTAACAAACATCAAATATTTATTGTTCTAGTTCTTAGTATATATATATATATATATATATATATATATATATATATATATATATATATATATATATAAGTTGAAATTATAATGCACGAAGATAGCAAGGTAGCAACAAAGTGTCAGTTGAAAAATTTGCAAATCTCTACATGTTTTATCAAGTATACAACTTCAAAAATGCTTTTCGTGAATATACTGAAGAAAGAACCAGGAAAATGGGGAAAAATACCTGGAGCAGCAGGCGCGTTAAAAAAGACGCTCTACAAGTTTCAAGCTTTTCTTCAATATCCAATATCCAGATTCAGATACAGATTTGTGTAGTAAAGTCAGAAGGCCAATGGCCTATGTTATTACTTTTCCAATATGCTTCTATGAGTGTCCAGTCTTCTCTTGAATGAGTCAATTGAAGGTGCGGACACTACTGCTTCAGAGAACAGGTTCCAATTATTGATGACTCGGCGTGAAAACCTGTATGCCGCTGATACTGTGTTCGTTCTTGGCTTTTCTAATCGCCCACCATGTCCTCTGAGATGTCCTGATCTAGTGGTAAGAAAAAGAGAATATGTAAGGTCCGAAATCATTTCTCAGTATTCTGTACATCAAAATGAGGTCTCCTTTTAGTTTGTGATAGGACAGAGTAAAAAGGTTCAGGTTCCCCAGCCTCTCTTTGTATGGTAAACCCCTGAGTTCTGTAATTGCATGGGTAGCTGCCTTCTGTACTTCTCCCAGGATATCCGAGTCACCTTGCTTGCTGCCTGAACGAGTTCTCAAGGTTGGGTATACTGTAGTGAACATGGTAGTATCTTACTTAGTGAATGTCCGTTTCAAATCCCAGAGGGTTCTATACGCCTTAGCTGTGACCTCCCAGCAATGAGCCGTCGTCCTAAGATCATAACCCACTGTCAACACAAGGTCCTTATGGAACTGGACCACTAGTGCTGGCACTTCTATGCTGTACCTATTACCCTTAGTGTTCCCGAAGTCCTTGTGAAGGGCTGGCGGAAGCCAGCTACTCTTCTTGCAATAGAGTTTTAGTCATGAAGTACGGTTTCATGTTTATTTTAGCGTATACTAAGAGCAAATAGACACTCGACTCCACTATTCTCGGTGAATTAGACAGATATTTGAATGAGAACTTTCGTCTAAATTTGAACGAATAGATTCACAATATTTGGGTGCCGAGTTAATTTGAGACATTAAAAAGAAGAATATATTTGTTAAATCTCGGCGAATGAATTTAAGTAAATCCAACGTTTCGCCTGGCAATATATATTTTTTCCTTGAAAAAGCTTGGACCAGATTGCCAGACGAAACGTATGCCTTTGAGGAATTTTCACAATAGACACGTGGACTTGGTGATTTCTGAATTCCGCTGTTTCCAATAGGTAGAGCCCTACGGAGTCTTGCATCAATTTTGCTCATTTTCAAATAAAAAAGTTATACATTACACTTTATTAGTATCAATCTATCTTTAAAACTAATTCTCACTTTTATTGTCAATCACTGCCTGCATGTGCAGTTATGTATAGTTCTACAAAGTGCCAATAAATGTATATATGTGGCCAGGATTTTCGAAATGTTTAGAGCGAATAAATCACATATTTCAAATCTACTCCGTTCGTTTATTGTCAAGTGGAGATGATTTATTTGCTAATGATTGTTATGGAAGGCTATAGCCATCCTTGATTATAATTGGGCAACCCACAGCAACAAATAACCAAAAGGCATTTTGACTAGAACAATTACAATAAATTGCATGCTGAAAGGAAACTATAAAATATCTTACAGGCATTTCAAGCACCTGGACCGACTACAAAAACATGGCATTACTGTAAACATTCATTGATGCCGAATCGGAACTGACTCAGTAGACTTCGTAGGACACACTATCGATGCTCAAGGAATTCGACCCCTTAGAACCAAAGTGGCGGCCATTCTGGATTACCCAGAACCGACCACCATCAAGCAATGACGCACGTTTAACGGTCTCGTAAGTTTCTATAGACGTTTCATACCGAAATGCGCATTACTTATGAAACCTCTTACCGACCAACTTCGTGGAAATGCGAAATCCATCAATCTGGACGACATCGTGCGAAAAGCATTCTCCACAGTTAAGGAACTTATTGCTCAGGCAACAATGCTTGCTCATCAGGACACTGAAGCACCCCTTAGTATCGCAGTAGACACACCCGACTCAGCAATCGGAGGAGTCTTACAACAATGGTTTAACAACTCCTGGCAACCTTTGGCATTCTCCTCTAGACGGTTGCTGGACGCCGAATCGAGGTACAGCACATTCGGTGGGGAACTCCTAGCTATGTATTGTGCCGTATGGATTTTTCAACACTACATCGAAGGCCATGAATTCACCCCTTTCACCGACCATAAACCGCTCACATACTCTCTAAGCTCTCATTCAGACAAGTACTCTCCCCGTGAGTCTCGACAACTGGACTACATTTCGCAGTTTACTTCAGACATTCAACACATCATTGGAGCAAACAATGTAGTTGCAGACGCCTTATCTCGCATAACTTCCTTGAACAGTTTCCAAGGAATCGACCTTCTTAAACTCGCCGTGCTTCAAAAAATGACACTGATATTCAGCACGAGTTATCCTCAACAACCCTTAAGCTGCACATTGAGCAGATGGGAACAGGTAAGGAAACCTTACTTTGTGACACATCTACAGGTAGGGATCGCCCAATCGTGCCGAAACATTATCGACGCAATGTCTTCAACACATTGCACAAACTTTCTCATCCAGGTGTTCGTGCAACCATCAAGCTTATAGCAGAAAGGTTTTGCTGGCCTGGAATGAATAAAGACGTGAGGGAGTGGGCACGCTCCTGTGTAAGCTGCCAAAAATCTAAGGTCATCAGACACAATAAATGCCCCTTAGGCTCGTTTAAAACTCCCGATGCTCGTTTCGATCATGTTCATCTGGATTTGGTAGGACCGTTACCAGATTCAAATGGATACTCTTATCTCTTAACCTGCGTAGACCGTTTCACTCGATGGCCAGAAGCAGTACCTATCAAGGACATCACTGCTGAAACAGTGGCTCGCACCTTCGTCGAACGATGGGTAGCAAACTTTGGCTGCCCTTCAACCATCACTACAGACCGCGGACGTCAGTTTGAGTCCGATCTTTTCCGTCGTCTGACCACACTTTTAGGAATCACTCGCTTCCGAACGACCGCCTACCATCCACAAGCAAACGGGTTGGTAGAACGTTTTCACCGACAACTGAAAGCTTCGCTATCAGCTGCAAACGTTTCACAGTGGACCGACGCTCTTCCACTCGTCTTACTAGGTATCCGCAATGCAGTGAAAGCTGACATTGGATACACTGCGTCTCAACTCGTTTATGGAACGACACTTCGACTTCCAGGAGAATTCGTGGATCCTTCATCCTCTTCAATGAACATGGATCTAACCTCCTACACGAACAGGCTTACAAACGCAATGCGTTCAGTTAAACCTGCTTCCACTCGACCTCAATCAACTGATGTTTTCGTTCAACCTGACTTACGATATAGCACACACGTCTTCGTTCGTCGAGACTCACATCGCCAACCTTTCGAATCAGCATACGAAGGACCTTTCAAAGTTCTTCAACGCGAATCTAAGTACTATATAATCGATAAGAACGGAACCAACGATAGCATCAGCATCGATCGCCTCAAAGCAGCGTATTCAGAAGGAAATCCTATCCACGTCGATTTTCCCTCGGTACAGTCGAACGACACGAAACCGACACTTACGATACCTCATCCAACAACCAACACGAACGATGATGCTTCGAAATCATCTGAAAATAAACTTAAAACAACGCGTTTTGGAAGAATAGTAAGGTTTCCAGGACATTTAAATCACTATTGCACGTAAGACACTGGTTAACATTTTGTTTCATCTCGATTTTCCATGGCGTTACATAATGTAAAAAAATCAATTTTTATATGCTTAAATTTACACATATTTAAAATTTGACTAACATGAATATTAAAAATTTTTTGTGTCTTAAAGCACGTACGAGTTTATTTCGACATGCACTCACATATCCTTTTTTTCTTTTCCAGGACGGCTGGAAAAGACGATGAAAAGTGATAAGTCTTGTCGATTAAACGCTATATTTCGTTTTTCTAATCTATTCTGGTAACCTACAGGCTAGAACTATACAGTGACTTGAACACCAGAGAGAAGACGCTAGTATGAGAGAAAATACTTTACTCCAAGGTTCATTTTTGTACAGAAAATCATGGGTATTTATAGATGTTGGTGTCTATTAAATTAACATATCTCAGCCAATCCGTTAACGATATATTATGCTATCGACCAATAGTAGCTCGCCACGTTGGGATTCTAGAATGTTCCATCGTACTCTGATTGGCTAGGACTCTTCGGCTTCTTTTGGGCCTCTGGAGGCTCCGTTTAAGTTCTCTGGAAGCCGACTCAACAAAAAGAACAGTGAGGTTTACGAGGAACCAAGAATTTTCGCTGTACATAATTTTTCACTATATTGTATTACATGGGCACTCATAGTAGGGAAAGACGACCACACGCTGGTAAACCTAACAAGCTATCAGAAGAGTGTCTACCAACGACAAAACGCGTTGGGTCTAAACTTCCGGCTGGCCACGTCTTAGGGTCATCACTACCCCACTAGTGGGGGAGTGATCTGTAGCGGTAACTAAATCCCCAAAATAAATAGCTCTGTAAGTCTTCGACATTGGATGATGACCACAATACTTCCATTAATTTACGAGAACCTTCGTTGCATAAGTCAGTACCTATCAGCACTTGGTAGCTAAGTGGACAACGCGTTTAGTGTTTAAATCGAAAGGCAATCGGTTCGAGTCTGGACGTCAACATGGTTACAAGTACATCCAAGTAAAGAGTTGCAAATAGGACGCAACGTATATCTTGGATTCCACTACTATTCACTATCTAACTTACATAAAATTCTTTTTGTTGTTGAACCAATCAAGAAACAATTTTTTTCTCATTGTAATTTTATATTGCATAAAAATGTATATAAGCAGTAGTATTTTTCCTAAACATTGAATTTTTCGCAGTCACAGATCAAACTTTGCCTTCTGATACCACGTTACTCTGTGAGATATAAGGCTCTGAAGGTATCAACACGTATGTTGTTGATTTTTGTATCATCAGTGAAAATCCGTTTCAATAATCATGTTATTCCCTCGATCATATCATAAGTTGTTAATAATTTGTTAATAATTTTAAGTTGAAGTTAGACATTAACACCGTTGGATCCCG